GTGGGACGAAAATTTGACTACTCAAACGCATCAAAGGCAATAATTTGAAATTTCGTGTGAGGAAAAAGAAAGACCTACTTGAGAGGATAACCAGGCATTCCAGCTCGTGAAGTCCTGTCGCAGCCTAGGATAGTAAAATCCCAGGGGGTTAAAGATGAAGGGCACAAAATTAATTGAAGCGGCCATTAGCAAAATTGGCCACGTGTCGAGAAAAAAAACACCAGCATCAAGGCCAGCGTACTGCACAATCATCCACAGTAAGAACGTGAATGGATCAACAGCGCGCTAGAATTATACCTCTTCATAGGGTCACACATAACCGAATTCATATGCTCACTGCCAAGTTTGCCTGAGCTCCATCGCAGTGCAGAGTGCTTCTTGATGCTGGTTCTCCACTACCGTTAGCTACGTTGTTATGTGCAGGAGTAGCTATATTATAGGCCTACTGTGGCATATATGATCAAAAGGACGAACAGCTCCAAGCCTATGGAAAAATGGGTGAAATAGAAAAACATCCAAATGTCCTTCAATGTTGCTCGCTCTATAACAAATCCTCGGCCAGTTTCCTGGTACTTGGCCCCTCCGTAAATTAACACGTGGTCTATGACGGATGCCTTTGTGCAGGCTGCATAACACCATACCATATGCAACGTGGCTTGTTTGTGCCCGTGACTTTCGCAACCCATGTATAGGGGAGTACTCAAGCGTATTCGAAAGTGTAACGGTCGACGCCTAATGTTAGTTTAGAGACGGTAGTAAGCAACGTCCACGGACGCACTCATGAAGTTGTAATATGTCACGGAAAACTTGCTGATGAGGTCGACGAGCTTCCGCAACGCCGATCCAAGACCCTTCTCTAAAAACAGCCACGGTATGAGCGGTAGCACGAGCAGCATTCCAAGCTGGAACTGGACGTAGGTTGAAGGCGTCAAAACATATTCTAGAGCGCTTTCAATTGGCCCACTGTAGTTGTACTCTGCGTTGCAGCAAAACACCAAGTACACAGAGGGGTATCCGAGTAGAAGGCGCTGATTTTCTGAGGATGATGAAAGCTCCTCTCACCAACTAGACCTTTAAAAGGTCCGGAGCTGCACCAATTCGCGCCATTGTCTGTGGAGTCTTTGTTGCCTACAACGCACTTGCAAAAGCCAAGAAACACTTCGTGTACAGGCACACGTATGCAGCCAGGACGAGGATAACAGAGTTTAAGAAGAAACCAGGGCCGGTAAACCATAACGACAGCACTCGAAAGAAGTCCATGTTTAAAACGAGGCGGTTTAGATCGCGACTAAGAACTTGTTCGCCGTTTCCCCCAGCAACCTTCTTCTCGAACATGACAACTTGTTGCAGACCGACATCCCGCCCCTTGCCGCACTGCAGCCACACGTACGTGGGTACCAATTGGCGTGAAGAGCACAGACAGTTTCTAGGGGTACTACCTGCGACTGGAGAGATGTATTTGCATCAGAAATCCCATCTGTTTCCTAACTTCCACATCTAATCGGAAGTGAAAAGCTAAATCAGATACAGTGAGCTGTCATTGAGCTCCTAAGAGCAGGCTCCACATGCACGAAGTGCATAGAAGTCCCTCCAGATGGGCTCCTTGTATTTGTTCTGATGCTGTCCATACCTGTATATAGTCAGCATGGTGTACGCAATAACCTCTAGCGGTGCAATTAAAACCAGCGAAAATGTCTTCTGATAGGTTGATTCCGTTGGAAGCTTTTGAACAAGAGCCGCACGTCTGTACGAAGAAGCGATCGAAGATGTCAGGATGACCATAGTGCATTCGCACCTGAAGAAGCAAACAAACTGGAATCTCACATTTAGTGACAACAGGAACGATCCTTCATGCTCTGCTCCGTTTAGGAATAGTTTCCTACTACTCGCCCCTGCAAATCCTCCACGTCGTCTAAGTTAATTTCCAACGGCAAAATGTCATGAAGAATATAAAATACTTGCGCACTCTCAATGGAGTGAAGTACAAGCGTTGGTTTGTCGTTGTGAAAAGGTTCTCCTGCAGGGCCATGTAGCTGGCTAGACTTGAAACGTTTTCTGTAAATATGTGCTCCCTGAAGCCTGATCATAGAAAGAGCATTTTAGCCTTTTCTAGGTTTTTGTGGACGTGGAGTGTCAAAACTGTGCCATCCAGCCCCACTATTATTAGGAATGATAATTTTACTATGTCTGGCACATTAAACTGGGATCCTTCATCTGTTTTGATTGACAAGCCCTTATCAAGGAACGTCCCTTACCGAGAATCCGCATTCGAGCGTTCAGTGCGAATTCCTGAAGCAAGTTGCGGAGCTTTATCGCCTCCTCAAGGTACGACTCCATATTCATGTCCATCACCTGCATAGTGTCCATTCTCGAAAAGGCAATTGCGTGGTTCTGATTTTCAGGCTTCCCTGGTCCAATGATCGGAGCGCGACCCCACGGCGTCCCTGACTCGTCTACTATCAAGGGCAGCCGAATCTTGTAAATAGCCTCGAGTCGCAACGGACCCCTGCGCGACGGCCACAGCATTTCTTCTTGGTTGGTGTTGCGCCGAAGCCTGGCCAGGTTTTGTGCTTCAGCCTCCATGCGTGCTTGGTGGCGCGACAGCTTTTCTTCAAAAAAAGCTACGCGCTCTTTCATTGTCAGAATCCCTATCTCCCTGAGAGCGCCGACGCTGTTGCTTCTGTGGGCTGCGGTACTTGGGGAACTCGTGCGAGCCTCGTGCCTATCTCTTTTTGAGCCCGAGTTAGCTTGCCGGTCGTGGTTATCCTGCCTGCTCACTGCGCCGCTCGTTTCTAAAGCATGCGGAGAAATTTGGAACTCTGTTCGGTGAAAGGCCTCTTGCCGATGGAGCTGCAACCCTTGGACAGGTGGATGCATTCCAATGCCTACTTTTGTGTGATTGTAAGCATTGATAACGTCTTGGTTACTGGCCACCACAGAGTCCTCAGGCCAAGCAGCAGAGTCCAACAAATGTTCCAAGCGGTGGACGTCCATGGTTGCCAAGGCACTCCAAGGCAGCGAGCTCTCGTGCCTAGGATGCAAAGTGATGATGGAGTGCCTCCTCAGCGCTGAAGTGCATTCTGCACCTAGTGCATCTGTAGGGCTGCTCGAGTCCAACATACAATGCCTAGCCCTCATTGTCGGTCGAGTAGTGTACTGTCTGGCTCTCCCGGAAAGCTCACCTGAGCAACTTGTTTTCTTCTTCTCGAAAGAGCAAGAGCCAAAAGAACCACCTCCTGTTTGCGGCTGGCCAGCACACCCAACGGGCGTCATGGGAGCCATGCAATCACGCGCCAAATCTCGAGCAAACTGCGCCTCCAGAAGCGTTGGCGTAGGAACGCTACTGGGAAAATTGCCAGGGGCATAGGATGGCAAGCGAGCAGAATCTGTTCGCCATTGGAAGTGGCTTCTGCT